TTCAGGCTCACCCGGTTCAGGTCCTCACCCATCAACCCCTCGGCGCCCTCATGAGGAGCCCCACCAGCTCCTCCCGCATGGTGAAATGGGCTATCTTCTTGAGCCAGTACAACATTGACATCCATCCAAGGCCTGCCATCAAGGGCCAAGCCCTGGCGGACTTTGTGACGGAATGTACCGCAAGGGCAGACACGGACGGGGAGCCCTCGGCTACCTCGGACGACTGGTGGACCCTCTAAACTGATGGCTCCTCCGCGACCAAAGCATGCGGGGGAGGGGTAGTCCTCATTACCCCCGAGGGCTTCAGGGCCTACTATGCAATCCGCTTCTCCTTCAAGGTCTCCAACAATGAGGCCGAATATGAGGCCCTCCTATGTGGCCTTCGGCTGGCTGCCAACATGAGGGCTCGGCAGATCCACATCAAATGCGACTCCAAGTTGGTCGTTGGCCAAATCTCCGAAGAATATGAGGCCAAGGAGGGGAGAATGAAACAGTACAAGGAAGCGGCCAAGGAGTTGCTTAAGGTATTTGAGGCACACTCTCTCACTCAAATACCGAGGGCTCAGAACTCCGAGGCCGACATATTATCTAAGCTCTCGGCCGACTCCCCCGAGCACATCTCCAAAATTGCCAAAATCGAGGAACTCAGCCTCTCAAGCATCCATGCAAGCCCCGTTATGAACATACAACAACGTCAGGAGGATTGGATCTCAGATATCACCGCCTTCATCTCCACAGGGCAGCTACCCGAGAATGAGGCCCGCGCTAAACTGGCAAAGCTGAGGGCTCCCAGCTACACCATCGAAGATGGAAGGCTCTACAAACGATCTTACAATGGCACGCTACTTCGGTGCCTTCATCCAGATGAAGCCGAGGTCGCAATGGAGGAAGTGCACAGTGGCACTTGCTCAGCTCACCAAGGACCCTTCTCCATGTCCCGAAGGCTCATTCTCCAGGGCTACTTCTGGCCAACCATGGCCAAGGATTGTGCTGACCTTGCCCGGAGGTGCACCGCATGTCAACATTTCTAGAAAGCTCCCGGCAGGCCAGCGGTCAACTATGCCCCCATCAGCACCTCTGTCCCATTTTCTCGATGGGGGATAGACCTTGTGGGCCCTCTGCCGAGGGGTACCTCCAATAACAGATACATCATTGTGGCCGTCGACTATTTTACCAAGTGGGTGGAGGCTGAACCCCTCGCCAGCATCACGGAGGCGAAGTGCCGTCACTTCGTCCTCAAGAACATCCTCACAAGGTTTGGCGTCCCCCAGCAGATCATCTCCGACAATGGGACACAGTTTGAGGCAGCCCCCTTTTGTGCCCTTCTGGAGGCATGGGGCATCAAACACACCTTCTCCTCCGTTGCCTACCCTCAAGGCAACGGGCAAGTAGAGAACGCCAACCGGACCTTGCTCGAGGGCCTCAAAAAGAAGTTGGAGGCCGAGGGTGGTGGCTGGGTGGAAGAACTCCACAACATCCTTTGGGCCTATCGCACCATCCCTCGGCGAGCAACAGGTGAAACACCCTTCTCCCTCTGCTACGGTTTTGAAGCCAAAGCTCCTACGGAAGTCACCCTTCCCACCCGAAGGGTGATCCAATATGACCCCGAGGTCAACGACAGCAACATGGCCCTCGACCTCCACCTCATTTCAGAACGCCGAGAGCAGGCCTTCATCCGGGCAGAAAACTACCGAAGGCAAGTTAAAAGCTACATCGACGCCAAAGTTCGCACCCGAGAATTTCAAGTGGGGGACTATGTCCTCCGGAGGAGGGAAGCCAGCCAACCAACCGAGGGAGGAAAAATGGCACCAAAATTCGAAGGCCCCTACATCATAGCGGCCATCATCAAACCTGGGACCTACAAGCTCAAACGCCCCAACGGGAAAGAAGTCCCTAGGCATTGGAATGTACACCATTTAGTTAAGTTTTATCAATAATGTAAGAGCGGCCAAGCCCTCATAACTAGTGAATGTACTATCCTATGGCCCAAGGCCTCCAATTTCGAAGAATGAAGATACATTCAAGACATCAAGCCCTCATACTGACTACAGGCCCCAGGCCTCACCACGAGAAGAACCCCCTCCGGCACCAAGTGCCGAGGGCGGACACCATCAACACCTACAACAAACAGTGAAAACACCACGTGTTTTCAGTCAAGACCCCTCGGTACCAAGTGCCGAGGGAAGGAACTCCTATCACCAACAACAAGGAACACCACGTGTTTCATTTCCCTTCGGCACCCAGTGCCGAGGGTACACCTCCATCATCAAACATCATCAAAGAAGACCCCTCGGCACCCAGTGCCAGGGATATGCTCTCCTATCAACTTCCAAACATCTGTTGGGAAACACCGAGTGTTTCATTTGAAGACCCTTCGGTACCAAGTACCGAGGGTAGACGCCTACATCTACTACGACAAAAGAGAACACCAAGTGTTCATACAGAAGACCCCTCGGTACCAAGTACCGGGGGCTACACATCGAAACTAACACCAAGTGTTGTTTCTAAAAGCCGTACCCCACGAGGACGCATATACCGAAGGCGCCACCATCGGTGCCGGCGGCACGTAGTGCCCCCGGCCATTTGCAACTAGTGTGCAAATGAAAACCCTTCCTTGAAACGCTTTCCGCGTCACTATCCCCAGGGTATGACAGGCATGAGAAATGCCCAGGATTCGACTTTCAAAAACGGAACGCTATCCGCGTCACTACCCCCAGGGTATGACAGGCATGAGAAATGCCCAGGATTCGACTTCCAAACCGAAACGCTCCCCGCGCCACCACCCCAAGGGTGTGGCAGGCCACGGACTATGTCTAGCGCCGAGGGGACGACTTTCAAAAATGAGGCGCTTTCCGCGCCATCCCCCAAGGGGAGGCAGGTTACGGACCACCATATCTTGTGCTCAGGAAACGTCCCTCGATCCCCTCGGAACTCGGAAGGTTAACCCGAGGGAGGAGAGCCATTGGTGTATTCTGATGGTCTCCTAATAGGCCCAGCCTTACCAAGAAACCAAGTTTCTTGATGCCTTCCCTTCACCACCAACCAAAAAAAAAGAGGGGGTGAAGGGGAGTAGACTCAGCGAGAAATCAAAGAGTACACTCCAACAGATCACAACAAGCCGAGGGCTCCCCACGGGAACACCTCCGGTAACTGAAGGCTCCTATTTCCCGAAGGATACTACTCAAACAAATATCATCAGGAAACGGCTAAGTCCACTGCCTGGTCACCTCCGGTCACACAGGCACCGAAGGCTCCAGCAAGGGTCGAAATCTACACCTTTTAAAAATTATGCCGAGGGCACACACTCATCGTTGGCATTCTTCACAACAACAGGATTCCACACATATTTAGCCCTCAGCCAGAGACTCATACAACACAAGGGATCTACATCCGGAAGCTCAACACCAATTTACGCTTAGAAAATATTCTAAGTCCTAAATTAGTAGCCCCCAGGCATCTCGCAAAGTAATGCAGAGTCAGATGGCACCTATCACCCGAAGGCTACACAAAGAAACAACACTTGAAAAAATTCCAAGTCCTAAAATTGGGCCCCCGGCTCAATCAATATTACAGCCAGGGGAATACAATAGCCGAAGGCTATGCGATACAACAACACTTGCAAACAAAAAAAATTCTGTCCTAAAGATGGGCCCCCGGCTCAGTCAGTATTGCAACTAGAGGAATATGATAGTCGAAGGCCATACATCAAGAAGGGATGCCATCTCCCGAAGGCTCCCAAGGGAGATTTTACACTTAGAATATTTTCTAAGTCATGCATGCTTTTCCCGGGTCAACTACTCATACATCAAGGAGGGATGCCATCTCCCGAAGGCTCCCAAGGGAGATTTTACACTTAGAATATTTTCTAAGTCCTGCATATTTTCCCCCCGGTCAGCTACACATACATCATGGAGGGATGCCACCTCCCGAAGGCTCCCAAGGGAAAATCTACACTTAGAAGATTTTCTAAGTCCTACATATTTCACCCTCATCTCAAGGGACCTAATTGCCGAAGGCTACCTATCAATCGAGGGCTACAGTACACAAGGAATCAACACTCAAGCAAATCTTCTAAGTCCTAAAGAATTGGCCCCCGGCCTATTCAATATTTCAGTTGGGGCTCCACAGTAGCCGAAGGCTACATGACATACTACACTTGCAAAGATTTTCCAAGTCCTGAACATTGGGCCCTCGGTCCAAGATTCACACATCAGGAAGGGATCCCATTTCCCGAAGGCTCACAAGGGAAAATCTACACTTAGAAATTTTTCTAAGTCCTATGAATTGGGTTACTACAAACACCCGAAGGCTCACAAGGGAAAACCTACACTTAGAAATTTTTCTAAGTCCTAGGAATTGGGTTACTTCAAACACCCGAAGGCCCCATGCTGTGCTACACTTAGAGAAATTTTCTAAGTCCTAATTATTGCTGAGCCCTCGGTTGTATGTCAAGCAGAGGATGCCCAACTACCGAAGGCTTCCAAGGGCTAGCTATAATCAGATAATATTCTAAGTCCTAAAACATACATTCAAAGGAGCAAAGACATACATCCAAAACAAAAACGAAGGCATGCATTCAAGAAGAAAGGAATTGGAGAAAACAAATCATATAAACACAGCCCGAAGGCAATCATTCAATCATCAACAAACAGAGGGCAAATGTAATACGAATAAACGTTACAAGCAGGCCGAAGCCGAAGGATGAATAATGTCATCATTACAAATACATATTTACATGATACAAAATACATATCAAATCATGTCATTCCCGGGGGCCGCCTCCCCCGATGGCTTCGAGGTGACTTCTGCGTCGGCCTCAGGTTCGTCGCCCTCGACTTCCTTCATGAGCTCAGAGTCCTCCAGGTCTGGCCTCTCGACATCGGGGGGAAGAGGAACGCGGATGTCTGGCTGCAGGGGGAGCCCGTATGCTGCCGGGTCAAAGTCCTTTGGCTCGATCTTCATGTGGCGAGCCATCCTCCGGTAGATGAGGACTTGTGCTCCTCGGACCGCCACCCCCCTGCCAAGAACCCCGAGATTGCGTCCCCTCGGGCTCTCTCGACGGCTTCCACCTTCGCGGCCTCGGCTTCCTTGACAGCTTTCTCCAAGGCCTCAGCTGCGGACCTCTCGGCTTCTGCCCTACCCCGATCTGCGGCCTCCGCCCGCAGGGTCATCTGCCGAAGGCTCTCCTCTAGCATAGCCATCTGCCGAACAGCGTCTGCATTCTGGCGGATGAGCTCCCGCATCTTGGCCTCCTGCTCGGCCTTGCGAAGGCGCCACTCCTCTAGCCGCCGGGCTTGCTCCCCGAGGGCAATGCAGGTCTACAAAAACAAAGGGGTTAGCGAGGCCAAACGTGGTTTCTTAGCTCGAAGTAAAAAAGAAAGAAATAAGCATAAAAGACTTACTGTGAGGGAAGACCGGAGGATCCTGTCCTCGAGGGTTTCGTCTTCATCAGCCCCGAGGGCTACTCTGTCAATCTCGAGGGTGATGCATCTCAGAAGCGCCCTCGGGTCGGCCGTACCGTTCATCACGGCCGTACCAGCCGGGAGGGAAACCATGAGGACCTCGGAAGATGGCCCCTGAACTCCCGGCGGCACTTTCGCCACCTGCATGTCCTCATTTGCCCCGGAGGCAGGGCCTTCATCGACAATGATCACCGGGGGGACTTTCTTCCCGGCATCCCCGGTCTTGGGCTTCTTGCCCTCAGGATCTCTGCCCGAGCCCTTCGTTTTGGCGGCAGCAGCAGCATCAGTACTTGGGCCCACCGACGGCCCCTCCGGTTTTTTGAAGAAGTCACCGGCGGGTTTTGGGACACCGACGTCCGTCCCCCTCGGGCCCTTAGAGGGTTTTTTCTTCTTCAGGTCTGCAAGGCCTCTGACGTTCATCATTTTCACTGGGACACCTGCAAAAAACAAAAGGTATGGGGTTAAAATCGAGGGGTCGCTGACCGAAGGCACAAAGAATAAAAAGAAAAAAAAACACGAACAAGATAAGCTATGTGCTAAGATATGAAAACCGAGGGACCTCGTAGACTACCTCCTGTTCCCCCGAAGGCCTCAGCAAAAATGGGGTACTTCTCGTCCGCTTCCCTAATAAATCGGTATCTCCGAAAGCCGAGGGCGTAGAATCCCTTGTCGGCGGTATAGTCTTTGATGGAGACCTGCTTTGTGCGACCCTCCGGGATTTTGGCTATCACCAGGCCGTCTTTTTCGAGGGCGGCGCTTCCAACCTTCGGATGCCGACGGAAGCGATCCTGAAGTTCCGCCGGAAATGGGTTCTCAGCAACCCTGACATAGCACCAGCGCTCCTTCCAGCCCTTATTGGACGAAGGCGCCTCCGTGAACAGCTTCCACCTGGCCACCTGCTGCAGGTTGGCGAAGCCCTCGGCATTCGCGTGACCCCCTCGACAGAGGTTGAAGCTCTGGAAGAACAAGTCCAGGCTGGGGGTCACCCCTCGGTCCCTACAGAGGTTTAAAAAACCCGCCACGTAGGAGTGGCTATTAGGTGTCAGCTGGCAAGGTACCAAGCCAACAAACCTCAGGTACTCCCGGAGGAAGGGGTGCAGAGGGAACCGAAGGCCCATGGAGACCGACAGTACGTGTACTGCAATGCACCCCTCAGGCGCCCGAGAGAGCACATCGTCAACTCCCGGCTCGACCACCTCGGCCGAGGGCCCTACATGTAGCTGCGTCACGTAGAGGTCCGCCCTGTCCGCCTTCGACTTTATCTCCAACGCAGCCGTGTTGAGCCAGGAATACCCCTCCGGCATATCTACGGGTTTCCCCTGATCAGCAGCAATAACCTTCTTCTTGGGGACAGCTGCCTTGGCCTTCTTCTTCCCGGGGGCCACCCGGATGGGAACTGCATTCAGCGGCTGGGAAGTACTGACCTCACCAGCACCCCGAGGGGGGAGGACGGCCACAGTGACCTTCGCCCTCTCCTTTTCCTCCTCCTCTTCAGCAACTTGGACGACGAGGGCCAACTCTTCATCCTCGACAGTTCGCTCAAATTCCTCCGCCTCGGCCTCGGCCATCAGATCCTTCTACACCTCAATCGTGAGGGCTGCATCACCACCATCCGAGGGCTGACCACTGCTGGACTCCACGTCGGAGATGCCTTCGTCCTCCATCGAGGGCGTCCTCGAGATATCTTGAGAATCACTCTGGGACGACATTCACACTCTAGTCCGAGGGCTCGTAGACGCTAGTGTTTCCTAACTTTTCTATCTCCTAACCTAAGGGCACAGTACAGGTAGCTAAGAGGTGAAGGGAAAGCGGGCACTGACATTGAAAGCAGAAGTTTCGACCGAAGGCCTGATTTTCTCTCACTAGAATTTTGGGCAGAGCTTCGCTAAGACAAATGATCGCACAAGGGGAAATGGCTCTGGCCTTGGGGTATTTATAGGCGCTGGAATCCGGGCTTGGGCCCGGAAACCGGGCCTCCGGATGGACCGTCATCATTACACACCGTCGTTTCACCCAACCGGTGATGCCGCCCACGAACAGCCAGCCATCACACGCCACGTGTGCCACCCCCCCAACGGCTATATCCTGTCGTTACATATTCCAACGGCTATATTTCCAACGGCTATATTATGGAAGCCCCCGGGTTTTCTACTTCACTCCACTTCATCAAGGGTAGCCCCCGGGTACACTCACTCAGAAGTGTCCCCAGGTTGTGCCCCAAACATCACATGACAGACGCCTTCGGGATCACTCCTTCAGAAACCCAGGGCTTCATATCAGGGCACCCCTCGGGGATCCCCCCTCAGCACTGCAAACCGGGTAGCCCCCGGGGAGTTGCCTCATTGACGGATGACCCATGGCACACAGGTAATGGGAGCCCTCGGGTATCTTCATCACCAACTAATCAACAAACAGTGGACCCCCCCGGTAACAACTTCACTGCTGCCCTCATCTGGCAGGCCCTCGATCCCTGGATTGAGGGGCTCCCCTTCGGTGCCACCAGGACATCAACAGCAAACCTCCGGCTAATCAACACAGGAGCCCTCAGAAGAGAGAGCCTTCGGCATTCCCATCATTCCCCATTTTTTACCAAGGTTTGACATTTTCGATTCATCATTGGGGGAATTCGGGGCACTCTTTTTCCCTCATTAGGATTTTTTCCCAAAGGGTTTTTCCTAATGAGGTTTTTAACGAGGCATCCCCCAAAATGAAACGAAAAGCGTCAGCCTTCGGCCCACAACAGCAACGCAACTACTCTACTCCTTTTCACCACTTTACAAGTGCCTCAAGGAGTGGGGGACTGGAGGATCCCCTCGGGAAAATCATTAAATTACAAAATTTGGTGAAATTCCAACAAACAACAAAGCAAGCCCTCAAGTCCCGACATGTGGGTAACTGAGGGACTGCCTTCGGCAGGGACATAAAAGCAACAACTCCTCACCAACTTCAGAGATCACGACGGGACAACATCAAAGGGCAAGCACAAATTACTCCTTTTCCCTCAAGTACCTTTCGGCAAAAGGAGTGAGGGACTCCTGATGGAGTATATGGCCCGGGAACCCCCGGCCCACAGACTCCTACTACTCCAGCAAAAGGCCCAACAGGCCCAAATCACAGCGCCCAGAGTACCAAGCAGCCCGCACTACGCGCCAGGGGTGCCTTCGGCCCCCTGGCTGAAGGCTCTAAATTCTCACAGAACGGGTTTCTCAGGCAAATTAAGAAACTGGGAGAAAACGGCGAAAACAGTAGCCCTCGGCACTGTGAGCCCTCGGCACCAGGGTGCCATCGATTGGAGGAGCCCTCGGCTACTGCTCTATGGCCGAAGGCATCTCACTCGACAAGATATCCGCCTCACATGCGTACAAGATCACCGTACCCTGCACAGACGTCCCATCCAACAGCCGCATTAAATGCGGCCACCTGCGGCTGCCAGCGCCAACCAGTTGAGGTGACCCCTCGGCCAATGAGCGCTTGACACGTGTCCCTGCCCGGCATTTATTGCTGCTATAAATAGCACCCCATTTCCCCATTTGTAACCACACTGAAAACGGCATTCATACTGAATACACTCTCTCTCTACTTTTACTTACTTGCTCTGACTTCTCTCTAAGTTATTCCCCGTAATAACCCTTCGGATATATACCCCCGGGTAGATATGCAAAATAAATATTTTTTACAAGAATTTTCTGCTCGTAACGTCGTCTGGCCACCTCCATTTGAGGTGCTTCCGTGTATAATTTTTTGATAAAAACTTCGTGAGCTTGTTCTACATGAAATGTACATTATATATACCAAATTTTAACTTAAAATTCAATCGGGAAGTGAGTTAAATAAATATTGAAAAACATTGTGTTTTTTATACATATTGGCGTAATGCTTTTCAATAATTTATTTAACTGACTTCCTGGTTGCATTTTAAGCTCAAATTTGGTGGAGATAATCATTATTTCATTAACAACAAGATCACAAAATTTCATAAAAAAATTCCAGTTACAAGCACCTCAAATGAAGATTACTCCTGCAATGTATAAAAAGTTCGGCTCCTGGCTAGGAACTGGAACCAAACCGGAAAAGATGAAGTCCAAAATTATAGGAACCGAACCGAAATTTTCGGTTCGGTTTGGATCGGTTTTCCCGGTTTTACGGTTCCAAGTCCCAGCCCTACTTGCATGTTCTCTTCGGTCTATTTTTTCAGAGCTTCAGACCTGGGCATTACGCATAGCTGGGTGCACCTGCACTAGGCCGGCCTCGACTATCGTAATGAGGAAAATTGGAAGCTTGTCTAGAATTGAAATGATTTAGAACTGTTTATCAGTCGTTAAAAACTAGAGCCCGTTTAGTAACATTGAAATTGTTTGATTCTGATTAAATTTATGAAGTTCTGTTGAAGTGACTGTATTGGCTGATTCTGCTAATTTATGAAAAAATATATTTAAAATATATTTTATTAATATAATAAAGAAAAATATATATGGAAATAGTTAAAACAGTCATCTACAACAACTTCAACCAATACATTCAGAAAAGTAATTTCAAACTTGCCATTTCTTATTACTCCATATTACACAATTCAACGCGGGCAACAAGGAGATTTCCCCATATTTTTGGGGGGACGCAGCTATTGAAAAATTTTGGGCGGGTTTGGATTGTGACACTGGATCAATTCTATAAAGAAACTTTATATAATAAGGATACTAGGAAAGTGGAATGAGAGAAAAGCTGAGAAAGAGGAATAAGATATATATATAGGTAGGGACTCACGGGCTACAGAGTATTAAGAGACTTATAAGACTGGGCGAGGTGCAAGGTCGGTGGCCAGTGGGCGGACTGCCATCGTGGGTCGTCATTCCTAATGTCTGATGAGAACTATAAAGCCGGTGTGCTTGTAGTTGTCGATTCTCGTTTGTAGTATAGCCATGAACCAAGTTTGCCGATGATTATCACTACGTATATTCCTAATACTAATTTTTATTTTTATTTTGGAGGGCCCCTTATCAGGTGAGGCCCAAGGCAGCTGTCTGGCCCAACTGGTGCCAAAACCGCCCTTATAGACATACCCACTACATCTACAAAGGTAGATAGACAATGTCCATTCATTTGCATTACAACTCACCACCATAGAGAAAA